TTTCCACTCTCATGGAAATAATGGGGAAAACAGATGTTAATATGACAATTGTAGTGGGTTGAATGGTGGCCCTCCAAAAGGTATGTCCGTGCCCTAACCCCTGGAACCTGTGAATGTGACCTCATTTAGAAAGTCTTTTCAGACGTACTTAAGGATCTCAAGATGAAAACACCCTAGCTCACCCAGATGGGCCCTAAATCCAAGCACAAGTATCCTTAGAAGACACAGAAGAGGAAAAGACCACGTAAGGAGAGAGGCAGAGATTGGAGTGATGTGGCCCCAACAAGCCAAGGAATGCCTGGAGCCACCAGAAGCTGGAAGAGACAAGGAAGGATCCTCCCCCAGAGCCTTCAGAGAGAGCATGGCCCTGCCAACACCTGGATTTTGGACTTCTGGCCTCCTGTGAGAACTGGAGAAAATAAATCTCTGTTGTTTTAACCCATCCGGTTTGTTGCAATTTGTTGTGTTAGCCATAGGAAACTAATATAATAATTATAAAAATGAGATATAATTAAAAGTTGCATAAAAGCAGATAACAAAGGTACTTGACCTAAACTTGGTGGTCAGAGAAGCCTCGCAGGAGGTCATAGACAAAGATCCTAAGAGAAGATTCAAGAAGGGTAAATGGGTCTGGACCAAAAAGACAATTTTAAGGGTAAATAAGAGAGGGTACTTTTCAGTGCATTAAGATTTTATGTGTGCTAATATGGAATTAATATGATTATGTAAAATAATCAAACACTAGTTGACTGCAAACTGGATATCAAAGTGTCTTATTAGAAACCTGTTATGTGACACGTAAGTGCACCGCCTAACTAACACTTTTTCAAACCAACAAAAAATGAGAGTCCATATAGAGCAGGACCGTCCTCTCCCATGCTTCTGTGTTACTTCGGGCAGCTGGGAGGCAGGCCATCTGTTGCCGAGTTGAAGAAACACCTCAGATGTCTTCCCACACCACATGTAGGACTCACCCCAAAGCTGCTGGAAGACACTAATCACCCCTCCTGTGACACCTAAACCAGATGTATGATCAACCCCGGGCCTAAAAGACAGGTGGGTGCTTCCCAGAGGCCAGACTAGGCCAATGAGTAAGCAGAGCACGAGAACCAGAGGAGCCATGACCGCAGTGCCAGACAGAAATAGGACTCTTTTTAATTGCAAAGAAATTATTTTTGAATTTTGAATCATTTATTATTTAATGACTGCCTGCTAGTCACCAGGTCCGGTTTTAAGTACTTTATAGGTATTAATTAATTCAAGCCTAACAAATCTGTGAAAAATATACTATTCATAACCCCACTTTGTAAATGAGGAAACTGAAGTGCAGAGAGCTAAAGTAAACTGCCCAAAGTCACTTAGCTAATAAGTGGCAGAACCGGGATTCAAACTCAGCCTGACTGGTTCTAGAATTCATGCTTTTCATCACTGCATTTTCTATAATCTCTATAATCCCATAATAATAACAACCACCACCACTAACATTATCAAATACTGATTAAGAAGGAAGTGTAATTATCATCTTCGTTTTACAGATGAAGGACGTGAGGCCCAGAGAGGTTAAGGAACTTGCCCTAAATCACACAGATGCCAAATGGGGAGGCCTGAATTTAATCCTGGGGAGTCAGACTCCAGAATCCAGGGAATTCACTGCCACACTAGAGTGGCTTCAAATCCAGCTATTTGCCCCTGTGCTAGGAAACATTCCAGCTTTGTTCATATTCTTGGTTTATTTATTGCTCCACCCCCACGCCCCACCCGCCAAGCCACCTGTAGGTTTTAATCTCTCTGAACAAGGGGACAATCTCACCATATTCTTCATCTTAACCAGACACATGTGAAGTAGAACTTTATCTTTACTGCTTCCATTTTTTCTTTTCGTATGCTTTTCAAATAATAATAATAACAAATAGCTAATATTTCTTGAGCTTTTACTATGTGCCAGACTCTCTGCTACGTGCTTTACTTCTATTATTCCAATTAGTCCTACAAAAGATGCCTGTAGGTAGGTTGTCTTCACAGTATGGATGAGGAAACGGAGGCTCAGAAATGTTAAAAGCTCCCCGAAAGTCACAGAGCTGACGCTGCCAGAGCTAGCGTTCCAGCCAGGGCCATGGGATTCCAAAGTCCGTACTCGTGGCCTTTACACTGAACTGCCTCCACTTCTTAAACAGATCTGACTATATGTGACTGGGAGTCATATGAGGAAAGACACACATGGGAACAACCACCGGGTTCCAAGGCCAAGAAGGCTCCGCAGTAGAGCACCCTTTCCTTGAATACTAGAGGGCTGTTTGCTGCAAAGACCTGGGAGGGTTGGCAACAGCCTTAGTCCATCCTGACAAGGGGGTTAATGCTTTGTAGTCATCATAATCCAGGGTCACCCAGCTTTGCAGTTCAAGACTGTTTATCACATCATCCAGATATGATCAGGCCCTAAGGAAATGACTAATGGTAACCTGCCCACAGTGGACCGACTGAAACTTTGAAATACCTGCATATTAACTTATAAGGCAAATAACCTCTGACAGGAAAGACCAGGGTGTGAGACCCACTGACCACATCCTCTCAAACACTAAATCAGGAAGTTGGAAGTTGCTACTGCTTCTGGGGTGATCTCAGAAGATCCTGACGACACTTTCCCCATCCGTAAATTATGGGCACCAGAGTTAGGAATATCCTGTTCCACTATTTTACAGCTATGCATCCTTGGGAAAGTGGCTTTGCCTCTAGGATCCTGAGTCTTCTCATTCATCAATGTATCTACAATTATCTCCTCTCTCAAGGTGTTATTGAAAAGATTAGAAATATCTATAAGGTGGGTGGCACTTTACAAATCTCACATGAGTAGTACTGTCCCCTATATGTTGATATAGGCGTGTGCCTGCCACTGAGACTGAAATATCCATGTTGCTTATCCAAGTATCCTTTTCCCAAAATATTACTGGAGAAAAGCTGATAATTCATTTTAATTTACTTTCCTAATATTTCAACAAAACACAATTCATGATTTTATAAATTCTTTTTTTTGGTTTCCTTTAGATCAATTGCTTTCTGATGACATGTTAGTTTCCTAGGAAGCCTTCTCCAGATCATGCTGTAGGCTATGTTACCTCCATGGATCTTTCCTCTGGGGAAGCTATTCTTTTCTGTGGGATGAGGATTCTTATTTTAGCATGTGCCACAGAAAATAGCACTTATGGACTCCTATCCAGAGCAGTTATTCATATTATTTTAGGTTCCTGTGGCTCTCTACCCTCTGAATACAGCACTATTTCCTCATCTCCACTGGCATTAAGTGATAAACCTTAATATCAAAATCTGTCTCAGTAATGGATTTAGAGACAAGTCCCAAAGATGATTAAAGGGTTAGAAAATCTAACGTATAAAGAAAAGTGAAAAATACCAATGTACTTTATCTCACAAAGGCGAGAAACCAGCGACTCCTCACTGAAAAATGGAACAAGAAAAAATGAAACTGCTGCAGTGTGGGGGATTAATAAAAATGTCCGACAATCTTGTTAATGTGGATATGAGTTAAATTAGGATGTTGTCGACTCTCCCCTTTTGGAGACTTAAAGGTTTAGATGCAGTTTAGATGCATCTAATGGGGACAGTTTGGTTCAGTTTTAGATGTATCCTTGCCCAAGGGCTGACAGATGGATCAAATGACCTCTCAGCATCGCTTCCAGCCCCACACTCCTGTTTTTCTGTGCTCGTTGGACTAGATGTTAGCTGAGTCAGATTTGCCCTTGCAGGTTAGTGGAGGAGTTGGCTGCTTGAAAGAAAACAGGTAGACTTTTTATCCTAAAAATAAATGCCTCCCTACTCGGTTCCAGATTAAATTCTGCTACTAGAGATGTATTTCCTCGAGCCACAAAGTATTTTTAGTCTTCTAGAGTTCCCTCACAGAATGCAGACACAGACACACAAGTGAAGATAAAGGAACTAAACCTTATCAGATAAGGGCTTAGCAGAGATCAAGGCCCTGCAACAGACCAAGACTGGACATGCAGGAAGAGGGAGTCCCACCGCAGAGAGAAGACAGAGACATGACTGTACAGACAAACCATGCCTAACTGAAAATGTAGTTCTAGGCTTGTGCAGAAAATAGGGCTCTCCTCCCTCCCAGCTAAATACGGTCATTCTTTCAAGGAATGTAGAGCTCCTACCAGGTGCAAAGCACTAGACAAGGCACTGGGGACACTACAGTAAGCCAAACAGACATGGCTCCTGCTCTCCTGAACAAACACTGAACACGTGGTGAACATGTAGGAAATTACTACGTGGGGTCTACATGCATCCAACAAATGATGATTGAGTTGCTAACATGTACAAGGCACCATTCTAGGCACTTGGAATGGGGTGGTAACCAAATGGACAAATCCATTGCCCTCGTGGAGCTTACATTCTGGTAAGAGGACATTACATAATGAAAGAAGCACAAGGTGCTCTAAGAACTACGACAAAAAAAACCTACCCTAGCTGACGAGTCCTCCCTGAGAAGGGGATGTTTCTATTGACATGTGAAGGTTGAGTAGGAATTGGTGAAAGACATGTATTGGGGAAGGAGGAGGCATCTGGAGAGTGTTCCATTTAAAGTCACCAAACATTGTCAGTCGACCACAATTTGCTTGTGCAATAGGATGAAGGGTAATTTATATCTTTCTTTTACTGTTCAAATATATGTGTGATAATTAATTTTAAATAATATTAAAGTTATACTTAAAACTATTTTATTTCATTTTTACCTTGTGGCTTTAATGCGTTGGTCTTTAAACTACTATTTGTAAACTGTGATCAAATTCTGTATGGATATAATTCAGACATCAAATTCAAAATCAAATAGGAGTTTTACCCTGATGAGGCAAGCGCTGAGTCTAATTCCAGAATGTGTTTGGTGTTACTGTATGCAAACAAGATAACGTGTTTGACATTGTGACATGGATCTTTCCCCACCTACACTGAATATGAATTATAGGTTGGTTCCTGCACTACAGGTGGACCTGTGGCAGCCCAGCAGTATCTCCTATGTATCAGAGGGAACAGTTACTGATGTCCATATTCCCCAAAATGGTTTCCAAGCCCTGTTAGCCTTCTTACAGGAAGCCAACATCCAGTACAAGTAAGCATTCTTTTTCACTTGCTTAATTCATTTGTACTAAACTGAACTGAATGATAACTGTGTTCAGGTTATTTACTGAGCACCTAGCACAGTGTTTCAGTTATATTTATCTTTGGTGAGCTTTTTAGTGTAATGGGGGAGGGGAGGGAGGGGGAGGGGCAGGGGAGGGGACAGTGCAAGCAAAGGGAAGAAGCAGCATGGTATGTGTGCAGGGAACTGATGTAGTTCAGTGTTATTAGTGCACAAAGTGCAAGTCAGAGAGTAGAAAGGAAAGAAGCTGGAGAGACAGGGGAGGCCAGGCTGTGGGAACTTGATGCACAGCGATGGGAGCTCAGACCTTATCCTGTGGGTGGTGCTGCACAAATGGAGGATATAAGCAAGGGAGCCACATGTCACCGGGTGCAGGGGCAGTAGAAGACTATAATAATAGTCCAGGTAAGAGCTAGTGAGGCCCTGAGTCAGGACCAGAGTAATGGGATCAGGAGAGCACTCAAAAAAACAGTTCAGAGGCAAAACCGCCTGGACTCGCATTTGGTTGGATGTAGGTAGAAGAGGAAGAAGTCAAGGATGACTCCAAGTCTTCTAGCTTGGGTAAATGAGTAGACAGATTCAGATTTGAATATGTTGAGGTTTTTTGTTTTCGTTTTTAGGAATAGTTAAGTAGTAATAATGAAGCAAGTGGAAGATAGTCACAGGAGTCAAAGAAGAAATGAAAGTCTTTCAAGAGAGGGAACGTCAATGGTGCCAAGTGCTGCCAGGATATCCAGCAAGAAAGGGACTGAGCAGTTTCCTTTGGATTCGGCAATGGAAACTGTGTTGGCAACTCTAACGGTGGGATTAGACTGTTAGGAGCAGAAGACAGAGAAGTGAACAGGAGGTGAGAACAGACTACCGTTTTCTCACTATAGGAGAAGAGCCGACCACTGCTCTTAGAAGTTCCAATAAGGAGAGCAGCAGAGAATGAGGAGCGACTATAGGGAGATGTAGCATCAATGACTGAGATTTGGGCTTTGTTTGGGTAGGGGCAATTTTGGCATGGAGGCTGAGGGGAGGGACCAGTAGGGAAGGAGACAGGAATGAATATGCAGGTGGAGGAGTGGGTCTGAAGAGTAGGAAGGATATCTTATCCTATAAGACTGAAGAGGTAAATATGGGTCTATTTAAAATTATAGAGAGGAGAATCAACAAGTTGAAAGAGATCATAGTGACAGCTAAATTTTATGGATGAAGTAAGAAGCAAAATTATCTACTTAAAGTGAAAAGACAGGGGTTGAAGAGTGTTGCCAAGAGGAAAACTGGGGTAAGAACCAATAAAAGTGGTTGTTGCAGAGAAGAGAGATTGTAGCCCAGATTCACGGTTGAGGTTTTGTTGGATAGGACCACAGAAAGGTCAGAGTAGCAAGGAAGTTGAGGTTCCTAGTGAGATACTAGCTCAAGTATTCATCCATGGGGTCTAATCTGGGTAGGAGGGAGGAGCATCTAGGAAGAATGATGGGACAAAATGGAAGAATCAGGGAAGGTATGAAGAGCTTTATATTGAAAACAGGTATAGTATGACTGAGGGCAACAAATTGGAAGGAAGGAAGTTTTGACAAAGTGTAGGCTATTAGATGTTAAGAGTTATGGGGTAGAACATTTAAGGCTGGTGACGAGATCATTGAGGCTGATGTGGTCAAGAATGAGTGGGCTTAATCACCAAAGAATCATCACAGTAGTCTTGACTCTCCTTGGCTGATGGCAAAATTAGAGGTGAAGGGAGAGAATGTTCTCCTGGGACAGGAATATCAGGAAGTAGCCGGGAGTTAGAGGTAAGCAACGAGGAATGGCGTGATGATGAAAGGAGGATGAGGAAGTTAGAAGAGCAACGGGGAAGCACAAATGCGAGCCCAGGAGAATGCTGACCTCCCTCCATTCTGATCCCATGGTATGTGGAGTGGAAGAAGAGAAAGCCACAAAAGAATCTGTGTCCTTGAGATAGTCTAGTTTCTGTTGGGGCAAGAATATGAGAAGAGAGAGTTCTCTGAAGAGACTGGAGAACGTAGGAAGTTTATTTACAATGAAAGAGGGATTCCAGCAGACAAGAGAAAAGCAAGTGGTGGAGAGATGGAGAGTCAATGCAGGATCTGGGGGGAGAAGTTCAATGTAGTGAATTAATGAGATGGGAAGGAGTGACTTACTTTTCATTTGGAATCCTAGGATTTCAGGGCAGAGAGGCATGATTGTAAATGACTAACCTCAACTACTCCAACTATTTAGCAAGTGGTTGCACTGCCAAAACTGGCACAGAGATCCCTGATGATGTCTGGCAGGGCCTGGGATGGATTCATGGCTCTGTGAGTCAATAATGTGAGATCTCTAGTCTCTGTGGAAGGCTGGGCCAAGTGGTGCAAAGTGGCAGTGACATCCCTCCCTGGACCACGCAAATACTTCCCTGCCAGAAAGATAATTACAGCTGTATTAAAGTACTGATATACTTTTTGCAGAGAGGTATTTTATCTATGCTTCTAGAACAGGGTAGAGTCACAGCTGTGCATAAAACTATTGTGCATATTGAACATATTTTAGTCATTCTATAGCTTTAAGGGTGTGCTTTGATTCTCTGAATGCCTGGCAGGAAAGAGCTTGGTAATTATATCTATAGGTGCTCAGTAACAACTCATGTGCTTTGTTAATTATTATTCGGTGGAAAAGAATATACTAGTTATTTTAACAAGTCTCTATTTCCTGCCATTAAATATAGGTCATTTGGAACTGATATAGAATAAATATCACACTTTATGTCACAGAGAATAAAGTCTAAAAAATGAGCGTTTTAAACCAGTTGTCTCCTTATGGAGAACAATCATTTAGAATTATTCACTTTGTTGGTCCCAAGATAATAACACATAAGAGTCCATTAAATTCCACAGGACCAGTAGGTAGAGATCATTTTAATTGACTTTTATTATTGTAGCCTGGAGTATTTTCAAAAGATTATCATTTACTCTGTACAACTGTACATAATGTATAGCTATAGTCATTTTTAAAGCAGAGATAATGTGACCCCCTGTGTCTGGTCCCTAGATGATCAACCACTCTCAATGACGTGACAGATGAGATGACTCATTCTGCCATAAAAATTTTTAATCATTTTGTAATTTAAATACCTGTAAGAACTGGTAATGGAGTTTTAAATTTTGAGCCTCCCCATCCCACCCTGGAAACTTTGAGGAGGTGGTTTTGTACCAAGTGATGACGTCACTTGGAAAGTTCTTAATAGTGCTAGTCACCATTATAGGGGAGCGTACAATTGGGGTAGGAATAATAATCAGCCATAAAGGACTAAGAAAATACAACAGTTACAGAAACCATTTCGGGGCTCCATTTCACAGCATTCTCAACAATCTGCTGGTTTCCAGTCAACTATTTGACAAGAAAAGTGGGACTAGCCCTGCCACATCACAATTACTTTCATTTTCAGGTTGGTCTCTTAGGACCTGTATTAAGACACAGTCTAAGTTATTGAACAAAGACCCTGTATTAGTTTGCCAGGGCTCCCATAACAAAGGACCAGAGACTGGCTGGTTGAAAAAACAAAAATTTATTGTCTCATGATTCTGGAGCCTAGAAGTCTGAAATCAAGGTGTTGCAAGGGTTGGTTTTTTCTGAGGGCTGTGAGGGAAGGATCTGTTCCAGGCCTCTCTCGTTGGTTTGTACATGGCTCTTCTCCCTTTGTCTCTTCAAATTGTCTTCCCTCTATGTGTGTCTATCTTTGTGTCCTAACATTCCGCCTCCCTTTTTTTTAAATTATGGTAAAATATACATAACATAAAATTTACTGTTTTAACCATTTTAAATATACAATTCAGTGGCATTAAGTACATCCACACTGTTGTGCAACCATCAGCACCATCCATTTCCAGAACTTTTTCATCTTCCCAAACTGAACTAATTTCCCCCTTTTTGTAAGGACACCAGTCGTTTTGGATTAGGGCCCATCCTAGTGACGTCATCTTAACTAATTACATCTGCAACAACCCTATTTCCAAATAAGGTCACATTCTGAGGTACTGGGGATTAGGACTTCAACATATGAATTTTGAGGGGGACCCAATTCAACCCATGACAGACCCCAAAACACAATAGCGTTAATGAAATAGAAGTTTACTTCTCCCTCATGTGATAGTCCAGAGGTTGGGAAGCTGTTGCTGTGTTGCTACTGCCACCACTGTCATTACCATTGTTCTCAGGCCATGAAGCAGGTGGCTAGACACTGGAGTGCTCAGTCCAGCCACCCAACCACCTCTGAACAGTCACATCTCTGGAACCTCAACATGGCTGCAGCAACAGCGGCAGGAGACTTCTTGCTCTGAACTTCCTAACTTGCCAGAGTTCACAAATTTGTACCCAGAACCCTCGCTGCAAGAAGGTCAAGGGAAAGTAGCTTTCACTTCTCAGCCTTTACAGTACTAGAATTCCATAAAGTGAGTAGGAATGTGTGTTAAGAGGCAGTTGAGCATATCTAGCACAGACACTCCAGGGAGGAAAGAGGAAGCAAGGATCAGCCATTTTCTAATATTCTCTTCCATTTTTATTTAATATGGAACCCGAGAGGACTGATAGCAGTAAGTTTCCTGATTTAATTAGCCTAAATTACTGGTTTCCAGATTGTTAGCCCAAGTTTGAGCCTGATAATATACGAAAATCACCTGGTGAGCTTTTAAAAAGGACTGATACCTATCCACAGAGATTCTGGTCTACGTAGGGCCCAGTGTGACGTATTTTTTAAAGCTCACAGGTGATTTTAAAGCAGCCCAGCTTGAGAATCACTGGCCTAAATGAATGGATAAGTACTAGAGCTCCCATGATTCGCTCTATTTAGGGCACTTGGAGACTTTAAAGACTGAGGGGGCCGGCCCGGTGGTGCAAGCGGTTAAGTGCACACGCTCTGCTGTGGCTGCCCAGGGTTCACCGGTTCGGATCCCGGGCACGCACCGACGCAAAGCTTGGCAAGCCATGCTGTGGCAGCGCCTCATATAAAGTGGAGGAAGATGGGCAGAGATGTTAGCCCAGGGCCAGTCTTCCTCAGCAAAAAAAAAAAAAAAGAGGAGGATTGGCAGATATTAGCACAGGGCTCATCTCCTCACCAAAAAATAATAATAATAAAAAAAATAAGGCTGAGAAGCATTAAGAGTTTATTCATCAAAGAAGCTAATACCCAACTAGAGTGATTCCATACAACCTCAAACTGAAAAACTTTATAATTTTCTTACTTTGGTGAAAACGCTAGCAAACTTAACTAAAAAATGTTAAGATAAATCTTTTGTGGGAGCAATTATCCATTAGAATTATTTTGACAATTCTCTGAATGGGCGTTTCATTACGGGATTAGTAATATGTTAAGTCATTTATCACTTGATAATGATAAATAATAGAGAATCTAATCAATTAAGAAGCATAGTTTTTGTGGATTTTTTTCTTTTTTTGGTGAGGAAGGTTGGCCCTGAGCTAACATCCACTGCCAATCTTCTTCTATTTTGTATGTGGGATGTGGTCACAGCATGGCTTGACTAGCGGTGTGTAGGTCCACGCCCAGGATCCAAACCTGCGAACCCTGGGCCACCGAAGTGGAGCATGCGAACTTAACCACTACGCCATTGGGCTGGCCCCAAGAAGCATAGTTTTTTCTACTCAACCTCCTGGGAAAGTATTACCTTTCTAAAGGGAACAATGGTTGTTCTATCAAGAGCTGCCAAACAGACATATTAGCATCAGAACTTCAGAACTTTCTGGTGATGAATGTGAGGAATTGCTCTTACCTTGAGTGGAAACGAGTTATCTGCACTTGTTTGTATTTAGAAGGTCTGTACACTTTGGAAATACTGCAAAAGCAGCACACCACAGCTCAATTTTGTAAACATTCTGAAAATTTCTTAAGCCTTTGAAAACTTTTTATTTTTTATTTTATTTTATTTATGTATTTTATCTTTTAAACTGGAAATTCGGAAAGAGATTCTGATGTAGACTGCTGGCTTTGGCAAATCTATTTATTTTTTTTCCTTAGTTTCCTGGGATAGAGAAAAGTAGCCAGGAGAAATGGATAGATGGTGCCAGTGAGGGAAACATATCTGAGGATTGTCTGCAGTAACTGGAATATGTTGACAGCTTATCACAGCCTCCGCCCTAATCAAACTTGCGTCTTTCCTGACCATCTCAGATCTCTCACAACACAGGAAGGTTGGACAAAGATATAGAGGTTCATTTGGTTCTTAAGACCTACACTGACAATATTGTACAGTTCTTTAGTCCATACAAACCTACCTTCATCTGTAACTTCTTTCCTGGAGGAAAGAAATCATGAATACAGATGGTGTTCAGACTGACAATCTTTAACACTCCACTTACATTTTGAGCCACTGCAAGCAACTACCAAGTTAGTTTGTGCCACCCCACTTTATCTTGATGATTAATATGTTTCTAGTTTTAAAGTCAAAAATTGAAACAAAAAGACCATTAAGCCAATGATCAATTCCTAATTAAATATTTTGTCCATGGTGGATACTCAGTAAATAATGAATGAGTAAATCAAAAGCAATTTCCTACACCCAGCATGACCCTAAGTAATTCTACTTCCTTCATGAACCAAAAAGCGTTTATTCAGGTAATTCAAGATAATTTTTAAATTAAGTGGCTTATATAAATGAGCCTTGAAAGTCCTTTAAAGATGCCATTACATGTTCTTTTAATAGCACTTAAACCACTAAGCAACAGGTTCTTTTGGAAGATAGAATACGAAAGCAAAGCTTTTTAGCTAACTGCCAGGCCCAGAAAAATCACTGAGGGGCTCTTCAACAGTTGAAGTACCCCAAGTGAGTGAGCGCCTGTTCCTCCACTCCAGTTAGAGGAGAGGGGTGAGTACTGGGAAGACAAGCCTATATCCAGCTCAGACGTCCATCAGGAACACTGACGGCCCCAGCTGCAGCTGGCTCCACACATTGCGGTGGCCCTGGAGCCCCTCACCCTGGCCTCAGCCTGTGCTGTCCGAGGGCATTCACTTCCGTTAGCTGAGCCTGTCTTCTCTTGGCAGTCTTGACACTGGCAGGCAGTGACACAGCTTTATCAGACTCTGGGTACTTCTTCAATTTCCTCTTGAGGTTTGTAGCTTCTTTCCTCCTCTCCCTTTTCTCTCCAAGTTTTGGATCAGGTGTGCTGGGTGAAGACATGAGACAAGCCTCTCAGTGATGAAAGAGATGGGAACAGATAGAAGCTGCAGGAAAGGGGGATGTGGCAAGGGTGTGGACCAGCTTGTCTTGTCTCAGTTTTCATAATATCACACAGCACTTGGAATCTAAAGACTGGAATTTGGGTTCACATTCCAAGGTCAAATTCTGGCTCTGCACTCGCTAGCAGAGGGACGAGGCCAAGTTCTTATCCCTTTAGAGGCTGAGTTGCCCCAATTGTAAAATGGAGATAACAATAAAATCTACCTCAGAGGGTTGTTAACTAAGATCGTGTATGTAAAATACCTAGTGTCTGGTAGGTCCTTAATAAATATAAGTGTTCATTCTCATCATTTGGTTCTTGCAGCTGCTCAGTCAATAGTTGATATTATTACTATTATAATTTGGGAACATCTCCTATAATTTTACATTTTATATTCATTACACTGTTTGTTTAACAGTTTTTGTTTCCCAAAAAAGAACATTTTCCCAACATCTGGTATTTTTAGAAATGTCAATCTTCACTGTCCTTCTTTTCATAGATGTATAACTTTCTCTTGATGTTGCTTGATTTTTATATTATCTCCATTCAATTTTCATCATGTCTGTCATTTCAAATCCAGGATCCTCATAGAAGATCTTCAGAAAGCACTGGAAGAGGGAAGCAGTTTGCGAAACCAGAGAAATCGAAGATCCCTCTCTGGATATAATTATGAAGTTTATCACTCCTTAGAAGAAGTATGTAATCAAAGGAGATTTTAGTGCTTTTTTACAAATGCATTTTTATCATGGAGGTCTAAGGATTGGGAGAGAAGCATAAAGACAGAGGCAGGGGCTACATGAAAAATAGGTATAGCTCTTGTATTGCCTAGGCACCTCGGTTTAGTCATCTCTTCCATTAACCTTTTTACTGCGATAATAAGTAGCAAAATAATTTGAATTTCATTACTTTATCCAACCCACCCACACAAAGGACATGGGAAGTGCTAGGGAAGAGTGAGGTAATGTTGCTATAACTGTAGTTGTAAAGACCTTAACTAAAAAGCCGTGGAAGGTAGAGCTAGCCAGAATTTGAGGGCAACAATTTGGTGAGGGGTAGTGAATTTTGATGCTTGCCCCACATCTTCTGCACAGTCGAGAACTCCCAAAGGCCAAGCCTCATTTGTAGTAGCAGCTCAGGGCCTTTTAACATGCTTTTACCTGGAAAACCCAGAACCCCATCCCCACTGCTACACCCTTTACTGTTCACCTGGACAACAGCTAGTTATTCGTCAAATCTCAGCTTAAGCAAGAAGAGAGCTATTTCTATCCTCCCAGACTGGATCAAAACTCCCCACCCCCAACCACGAGCATATTACATGCACCCATAGCACATGGATATAACGCCTATCATAGTTTTCAATTATGTTAACTTTATGATTACTTGATTAATGCCTTTCTCTCCTAATAAGCTGCAAGTTCCATGAGGGCAGGCCATTTCTTTCTTGTTCACCGCTATATCCCCAGTGGCAAGCAAGTAGAAACCTCCAAATAGATAGCTGTTGACGGAATAAATAAATGAATGAGTACACACATTTTCCATACTTCCCCTGAATTGAGCCAAGGAATGCCAGACATAGGATTTAATGAGATTCTGTTATATTCTTAAGAGAATTTATGGTTCTCTTGATAATGATTTTCTTTTCAAAATTATTTCCACATATTTCATGTCTCACACTTTTTAGGAGCTTGAAATTAGAAGCAATGAAAGGTTTTAGAAACTTAGCACATGGAAGTGCTATTAACATGCACTAGAAAAAAAGTCAAATTTTTAAAATATGCCTTATATACATACATACATATGCATAGACACAATACCTATATATACACACAGATATGTATATACATTTTTCTCATTAGACTAAAAAAGAGTAGAAAGAAAAGAAAATATGGATCCTTTCCAAAATTTGTTTGTTCAACACAGACTCTTTCTTGCACATCATGGAACAGTGGGACACTTTTGTGTGACTCCCTTACTCCTTGTAAGGCTTTTAAGTCAGAAATGACATCCATCTTTCTAAATGCCTTACTCATCCATCTCAAATATACCTTGTCCTGATGACAGATAAGTGTGTGCGACTGGATCGATGCAAATGTATCACTATTACTGGGGAAATTTTTCAGAGTGTGCCCTCCGATGTGTAGCTTGGTAGAATAACTTTTAAATGCAAAAGATAATGCCTTTTCCTTAGCGTCTTCTGTTCAGTGGCAAATTACAATATGTGGGACTTTAATAAACACTTTCAAGTAGTTTGGATGGTTTTCCTGAAGCTGATTTATTTCTTTCCTCTTAAATACTTGGAAATAAATTTTGATTTTCAAAAAGAACCCAGAACACGTTGATTAATTTTCTGTAAATCTCTGCTATCAAGACATTAATGATAAATGGTAGTAGAAGGTATGCTTTAAAAAGGGAACAATATAAGACATAAAGCTACTATTTGCAAGGCAGAAAATATAATTTTAAGTATCCTGAAGAAAATTAAAAATACTAAATTGGTTTTTGTTCACTTTTAGACTCTGTAAATGCTCTTTGAGTTCTGAGACCCACTGTTGTCTTTTTGTTCTCTAAAAGCTCTATAGTTGTGAGAGTCTGATATGGTTTTTGTTTATTTGCTTTTAGATTCAAAATTGGATGCATCATCTGAATAAAACTCATTCAGGCCTCATTCACATGTTCTCTATTGGAAAATCATACGAGGGAAGATCTCTTTTTGTTTTAAAGGTAAAAATAAGAAATTATTAACTTAATAAATATTTACTAAACATTCATCTTCTCCAACTTTGACTTATGAGGAAAAGAAATGAAATGGCCTTTCATAGTGTTTCATATTTAACATCATCTGATAATTTAAGAAAAATCTTTTCCCTTAGGTTTTTCAGCCATATTTAATTTTTGCTATTGAGTATTCCAGAGAATACTATTTCTAACACATTCATAGTTATTGATGCACTTAAAAAATAATGGGCTTCAAAATTATTTGTGATTTGGTGCTACTTTAGATGAACCAACGCAAAAGTACATAAATGTGTAAGAAGTTATGCGTCATTCCCAGCCCTTGACCCTGAATTCTCTTCTAGCTGCTGACCTGGGGCTCTCCATTCCTTCTCAGCCAAACATCTAAAAAGATTTACCTATTACTTCCTCACCTCCCTTTCAGACTCACTGGCCTTTGCCCCCACAATTCCTCTAAAACGTCTCTTGCCAAGATCAACAATGACTCCTAGTTGGTTCTCCTCTTTGTCTCTCTGACCATTCTCTCTCGTCTCATTCACTGGCTCCCCTCCCCTTGCCCTTTCCTTAGGGTCTGGTAATCCCAGGATTCTATCCTCAGGTGTACTCTCGCTCTACCAACCCTCTCTGGATGGGCACATCCACCCCATAGTTTCAATAATCTTTCCAGACTTTTCTGTTTAGTGGAGTCTACTCTCTAGCTATAAATTCATATGTCATTGCCTACTTGACATTCTCATCTCGAGATTCAAAAAAGCACCTTAAGACTCAGCTTGGCACCACTATGCTCCTAGTCGAGAAACATGAGCATCATCCTAAGTTCCTCTCTCTTATTTTAACCACTTATTTTAAATCTGTCACCAAGAACTGAAAATTGTGGGGTTTTTTTGTGTGTGTGTGAGGAAGATCAGTCCTGAGCTAACATCTGCCAATCCTCCTCTTTTTTTGCTGAGGAAGACTGGCCCTGGGCTAACATCCATGCCCATCTTCCTCTACTTTATATGGGACGCAGCCACAGCATGGCTTGACAAGCGGTGCGTCGGTGCGCACCCGGGATCTGAACCGGCGAACCCCGGGCCACCGGGCTGGCCCCTGAAAATTGTTTCTTGTAAATATCTTTGCCTCTGCCCCAGCCACTTCTCTTGTCCTCACTGCTGTTGCCCTAACTTACCTCTGGATCGATTCTCCCTGAACTACTGCCACAGGCTCAGTACTGAACTTCCTTTCCAGGCCCCGTCCTCTACCCTTTCATCCTCTAATCCATCTCCACACTGCTGTCAGTGTGAGCACGCTCTTGCTCTCTCACGCGCGCACACATACACACACCTCCCATGGAATACAGGACGAATCCTTCTCTCTGTTACGTGGCATCCAGGAATTTCACGTGTCCTCTGCCTCTGTGTCCAGCGTTATCTGCCATTCTTTCTTCAAACCCCAGAAACAGTTCCTCAGATATGGTGGGCTCAGATTCTCTTCCAAGCTTGAGATGCCGTCTTCTAACTTGTCTGCCAGGCAAGCCTCAAGTCTTGCTCAACTATTCAAGTGCCCTTCTTCTGAGAAGCCTTCTTTTATTCCCCAGGAAAATTAGACATAGCATCCCCATGTTCCCAAAGTAACTTAGGCATAGTCACATCATAATGATTGATTGCTCGCATGTCTGCCCTCCCCACTAACATATAAATTCCTTTTCGTCTTTGAATCTCCAGTGCTGAGCACAATGTCTGACATTGAAAAGGATTTCCTAAAGTATTAGTTGAGTGAATTAATGAATGAATGAAAACTAGATGCCCTATGAATATAATGTCAAATGCTACCTATTGATTACTGGGTTAGAATCCCCCTGTAAGTGCTATTGCTATAATAGGATTGTAAAGAAAAAAAATCTGTCACTTGATTCTGCAAATCAAGTTGTTTTGTTTTTCCATTTTGTGTTGTAATGAAATTTGACTTTGTCTGCCTATAAAACATAGCTATTTCTTTAAGTGGTGGAGAGAGGGAGGAGGAGAAAAGAAGGGAGGGAGGGAGGGGAATTTAGCATTTTACTTAACAGTCACATATTATATTAAAATGGAAAAGCAAACCTACTTAAGGGATTGCCCTTTTCCTTATGTATTTTCTAGTTCTTTGACTTGTAATTAGTGCAATAAATTTATTGTTTCTGCATACACAAGCCTGGACTTCTGAAATAGACAGGAAATCTCTTTGTCTTTTTTATGGGTTACCTAATGAACCAAATTATAGTGAAGAATGGTGCTGAAACTTTTATTAAATTATGCTGGTTAGTGAAATCTAAAAATAAAAGCCTGAGTTGGTTACTATGAATACTCTTGTTTTCAGCTGGGCAGAAGATCACGAGCTTACAAAAGAGCTGTCTGGATAGACTGTGGTATTCATGCAAGAGAATGGATTGGTCCTGCCTTTTGTCAGTGGTTTGTAAAAGAAGTGAGTGAAACCCTTTACACAATGTCCATTTCAACTAATCAGTGCTTCCCATGTGTTTTTATTCTGCTCAAGGAACAAAACTGGAGACTTGAAGCCAGGTATTCAGCAATACCTGACTGAATGATAATAACATCTTGATTTTTGTGGGTCACTTTCATGTTTAGGAGGACCTGTCATAAGCCTGGCTCAGTCTATCCTCACCTCTGCCCTTGGAGGTTGGAATTACCAAACCTCATTACAGACAAAGAACCTGACAAATTAGGAACCAACCACAGTAGCTGATATATGGCAAAAAGCTAAAAATCCAATTTATGGTGTTCTAGAGCAGTTTCTCATAGGATATTCAGCTTGGAAAATTCTACATCACTTGTCTTCTCCATCCAAATGACCTCACATATGCTATAACAATAAAGAGATGAGCAAGTGATTGCATTTTCCCCTCCTGCTATGGATCTATAATTTAAATACCAAAGACTTTTAGCATCTGTGGATTTAACATTCTCAGTTTCAATATTTTTCAGTGATTCTAACGGTTGATGACTCATAATGATTTCTCGGTTTCTGAAGGCTTCATTTAAATCATAAATCCGAGGCTAGTGTATCGAGTGGGTTCTATCCCAAGAGTGGGCCAACCTCATGGGCCAACATCTTACTATGTTCTGATATTTTTCTATTTCATTGTCAAGAATGCAGTGACTTTCATTGTTTGTTTGTTTTTTTTAACCTTGACATCTTACTTGTTTTTTTTTTTTTAAAGACTCTTAAGGGGCCGGCCTGGTGGCATAGTGGTTAAGTTCACATACTCCATTTCAGCAGCCCGGGTTCGAGGGTTCAGATCCCAGGCGCAGACATACACACCACTCATCAAGCCATGCTGTGGCAGCATCCCACATACAAAATAGAGGAAGCCTGGCACAGATGTTAGCTCAGGGACAACCTTCCTCAAGCAAAAAGAGGAAGATTGGCAACAGATGTTAGGTCAGGCACAATCTTCCTCACCAAAAAAAAAAAAAAAAAAACTCTTAAGAGAAAACCACCCCTAAGGAAATGAAGATTCTAGGCCAGAAAATAACCCTACAAATTTCTTTAGACCTTTACTTATAGAAAACCATTGGGGTTACAAAGATATTTAAATATTTCAGTTATATTTCACCATGTCTTTTGGGGAAATTACACGCCCTACTGAGGTTTGTGGTTTTGAGGACTCTCCTAGTTTTGGAAAATATCCCTCACAAATGTCAACAATGTACTAAATTTGCAAAATCTGCCTCTCTGCCACTCCCAAACCCACGAAAGTATCCTTAATTTTATAAATATTGTGTAACAAAATTTTCAAACTATTCCCACTCAGTGTATTGAGCAATTTATATTCTCTTAAAATACCATTTTATCCTGGTAGGACAAATACAAAAGCTAATAAGAAATTAATTCTATCACCTTGTATTAAATATCCTTGTATACATACAACATATCTGCTGTCTCAAGCTTCAAAAAGAAAAGGGGAAACAATGGTTAAGTACGGAACATCTATTGTTTATAGACTATGGTCTTGTGTATTATTGAAAGACATAAGAATGTATCTCCCAAACATTTTACCTCACCCCCACATATGCAACTTCTTCTTTATTTGTTATAATAATACCTAATATTACTAATACCTAATACCTAAACTTACTTTATTTGTTCATGTGATTATTGTCTGTCTTTTCCTACCAACGCCAAGGGCAGAGACTCTATCTTGTTCATTGACAAATCCTCAGCACCTAGAACAACACCTGGCACTTAATAAATTTTCAAATATTTGTTGTGAATGGGAATAATGAGAATCCAGTGGTAATGATGTAGAAAGATTTCTGGGAGATGACTTGTCAAATCATCTCATAGGATATGAGCAGTACCAGCTGGATTTTTGCAGTACACAATCTGTACAGCCATATATGGCAGCCCTATAACCCAAGCTAAATTTCCAAGGAAGAGGAGACAGTGTGTAACCACAGAAAAAGGAAGAGGTATGCATGATGGGAGTCAATTGAGGGTAGTTGATTTTGGAGCGAGACCAAGAAACATCAATTAAGATTTAGGTTCCATCTCACCAAAGATGAAAGAGAAAAGGCTTCTCCCTCCTCCCTCCTCCACCAGGCCATCTTCAAGCGTACAGATGAGTCTAGACATTTCTGTGCTTCTGCTGCCCTTTCCACACCTCTCTCACTCTCGCTGTTTATGGCTGTCACTTGCACCTCCGTTTTATCACTTACGTTTCCCACCGGAGTCAGGGTAGCAACCAGAAATCAAAAAAAGGTGGCCTAAGAGTCACTTGTCCCAGTGTCCTTGTGGAAGCAATGGGGCTGCCAAAATGTGACAGCCACGTGGTAGCAATGACTGGAGTGGGTCAACATTTACACATTGCGGGCTTGTAAGGAATGTCCTTACCTTGCTTTAAAGCTCCCATTACTCGGTGGTGGTGGGAGCAGGGAGAATGGGGATTTCAAAGATTTAAATAACCTTAAACCTGCCAAGCACTGGAACATTATCTTTTACACACTCCTTCCCTTGTTAAATCCTCAGTGTTCCAAAGAAGGCAGGAGTGGCTGGTCCAAGAGGGGGTCTAGGCAGTGTCCCTTCCAGGGGTCAACTCCCTTCCACCACAGAAATCCCATAACCAGTGCCCAGGCTCTTAACTTGTCTAATTTCCATGCCACCTCTGGGGGCACCAGGGAACCTCTGGGCTCTGTCTCTGCCTCCCGGGAGACTCTAGGATGCTATGTCTAGCCCTCTCTTGGCTGATACATGCCACGCGGCCGATTGTCCCCTCTGCATTTGCCCCTTCTTGGCATGTGAGGTTTACGTGAGGCAGTGTCCTCTCAGAGAGACATGCTGAACAAGACAGAGGTCCTCTTTTCTTACATTTTTTTACCCCCATCTGTCAGTGGTTTCTGCCATCTCTTGTTTCCCTGGAGTTTTAAACCCAAGGGAAGAGGCTGGTGTCAGAAGCCAAAAGTTTGGCTTCTTACCTTTGCTTTCTCTCTTTCTTGGGTGCTTTTCCCCAAACTCAACACCTTAAAACCACAAACATTTCTTACCTGATAGTTTCTGTGGGTCAGCAATTCAGGTGCAGCTTAGCAGGAGCCTCTGCCTCAGGCTACAGTGAAGGTAGCAGCTGGAGCTTCAGTCATCTTGAGACTTGTGGGGGGAGGATCTGCTGAGCTCACTCACAAGGCTGTTGGCAGCCTCAGGTGCTCAGTGGCTGTGAGCCAGAGACATCAGTTCCTCGCCACGTGGGCCTCTCCATAGGGCAGCTCGCAACACAGCACCTGGCTTCCCTCAGAGCAGATGAGGGAGAGAGTGAGAGAGAGCAGACCCAAGATGGAAACCACAGTGTCTTTGTAATCCAATCTCAGAGTGACATCCCATCACTTTTACCATATTCCGTCCATTAGAAGTGACCGCTAGGTCCAGACCATATTAAAGGGGAGGGCATTACACAAGAGCATGGGTACCAAGAGGTGGGACTCATTGGGGACCACCTTAGAGGCTGTCTAACATACCTTCGTGGGACTTTCCCCACAGCCACTGCTATAATGTTTGCATCCTTACTCAAACGAGAACTGAAAGAAAATATATCAAGCCCTTCTGAGATCCTGATAGAATAGTAGATTGCATAGAGATTATGTGCACACATTTAGTAGTTAGACAACCCTGGGTTGGAATGCCAGCTCTGCCATTTACTAGCTGTGTGATTTTGGTAGAGAAGTTGTTTAACCTCTCTGAACCTCAGTAATAATAATATGTGACACATTGGGTTATAGGGAGGATTAAATGATGTAAAAGACTTAATAGAGTGGCTGGCATATAATAAGCACTTAATAAAATCAACTCTTATTACTAGTATCAGCAATTTAGTATTTTTAAATAACCGATGTAAAGAGAATCATTAGAAAGAAAATCAGCAAGATTATGAAAGAACACAACACCACCAGCAATCAATAGGATCTAACAATATTTATAGATCACTCCACCCAACAACAATAGAATACACATTCTTTTCAAGTTCCTATGCAACATATGCCAAGATTTACCACATTCTGGGCCAGAAAATAGACCTCACAAATTTAAAAGAACTGAAATCATACAGACTGTGTTCTCTGACCACAATAAAATCAAACCAGATATCGATAGCAGAAAGATAACAGGAAAACCTCCAAACACCTGGAAATTCACATGCTTCTAAATTATCCATGGGTCAAAGACAAAATCTCAAGAGAAATAAAAAAATATACATCGAACTGAATGAAAACAAAAATACAACATATCAAAATTTGTGGTGCACAGCTAAAACAATGCTGAGAGGGAAATTTATAGCACTAAATGCATACATTAGAAAAGAGAGAAAGTCTCAAAACACTAATCTAAGCTCTCAGTTCAAGAACTTAGAAAAAGAGTAGAAAATAAAATCAAAGCATGCAGAAGAAAGGAAGTAATATAGATAAGAGCAGAAATCAATGCAATTGAAAACAGAACATCATTAGCGAAATTAATGAAACAAAGAGCTGAGTCTTGAAAAAAAATCAATGAAATTAACAAAGTTCTTGAAAGGAGAGACAAAGAAAAAAGACAGAAGATACAAATTAACAATGTCAGAAATAAAAAGGGGAATATCACCACAGACCCTGCAGATATTGAAAAGATAATAAAAGAATACTATGAATAACTGTATACATAATAAATGTGACAACTTAGACAAAATAGATCAATGAATTGAAAAACACAAACTACCACAACTAATCTATTATGAAACAGATAATTTGGATATTACTATTAAGGACCCTGAATTCATGATTTTAAAATTAAAAAAAAAAAACGAAATCTCCAGACTCAGATGGTTTCACTGAAGAATTCTACCAAATGTTTAAAGAAAAATTAACACCAATACTACACAATCTCTTTCATAAAATAGAAGAGAGAACACTTCCAATTCATTTTATGAATCTAGTACTACCCTG